AGAGAGAGAGAGAGGCGCGCGACCGAACAGTGGAATCATAAAAAAAAAACATACTCCGTAATTTTGTTCATACAGATCATTAAACCTGCAAAGTGTTTACTTATATTTGTGTACACTCGCAATAAAACACAACATTGTGCACACTGTAAACTCTTGTCAAACTGCAACCTACAACTGTCACTCAACCAAAATCACACACACACACACACACACACACTGTTTTAAAAGAAAAACATATTTATCCGACTCCATTTCAAAACAGTGTGTGGGTCCCATCTTTTGGACATTCGTCATATTGCATTGGTTTTCATTTCTTGTCCTCGGAGCACTAATCTTACACATTCTACATTGATTAAAAAAGAAAATCGAATGTGTTTTTAATGGTAGTATTATTTTAACAGAAATCAATTATTTATAATTCAGATGAGAATAATGTTACATTGTTAATTAATAATGTTAATTAAAATTAAGGAAAAAAAATATATTGATCTGAAATATAGCAAATTAATTTTAAATTAATTCAGGTACAATTACCAAACATATCGCAAGGTCTTTTTGTCTTTTCATTAATTTAATTAATAAACTAATTATATAAAACTATTGTCAGTGCACTACAAATAAACTGGTTCTATGCCTTTATATAATAAAACTTATTTAAAAAATACAATGCCTTCTGCATTTTTGTTTTGCTTTTCCCTCCATTGTACCGAAATCGTACCGAACCGTGATGTCTGAACCGAGGTATGAACCGAACCGTGACTTCTGTGTACCGTTCCACCCCTAGAATTCAACCAAGCCATGTAATAAATATATATATATATATATATAATTACATATTATGCAATTCAATAACATTAAGTTGAAACAATTAAGTAAATAATATTAAAAAGAAAGAAAATAGGTTATTTTTACATTACCATTCTTACCATTCTTGTTCTTAGTGTGATGAACGAACTTAAAGGGTTAGTTCACCCAAAAATGACAATTCTGTCAGTAATTACTCACTCTCATGTTGTTCCAAGTTCCAACCCCGTAAGACTTTCGTCAATCAACCATAAGTTTATCAAGCCACGAGAATACTTTTTGTGCGCAAAAACAAGCAAAAATAATGACTTTAACACGGTAGCATAATGAGGATCGGCGTTCGTAGATCGACTGGTAAAGACTGTATTTCAAAGATGGCTCCTGCCTGTATACGCGAAGTTGACTGTATGTATTAAATATCTTCTTATTAAACTGTCTGGACACTGACAAAGTTCTCAATGCTTCGGTTTGAAGGTAGGGACCCTCATTATGCTACCGTGTTAGTGTGGGGCTATTTTGAGCCTTGTTAGTGGTATTAACAAGCGATTTTTATTTGTCATTGATCTATGCCCAATATACTAGCGTTATACTAGCTTTATAGGCTAAACTGTTTTTAGAGATAAAACTATTTACATTCGATAATCATGAAAACAAATCTCAGATAACGGTTGACTAGGTAACAATGTGTAATTAGACCAAAGGTTCATTTTGCGCCGGAGTTCTCCTTTAACAAGCCCTTGACAGCACTTCCTTTTCAGCTGAAACAAAGAGAAATATATACATGTTGAGACAGTGTGTTAAAAATGATCCGTGACCAAATTATTTGAGAGGAAGGACTTTAAGGAAAGTTAATAAACATAAAATAAGGATACATTCATTAAAGCAAATCAGTTATAACTAAATGTGTTCAACATTACCTAATTTGAAGGACCTGTTCAGCCTCCCTGGCAGCTTCTTCAAGATCAGCACTGGGAGCTTTGAGTTCAAGTTCCCTGTTAATAGCAGCTTTCTGACAGAATTGATCAAATTTTGATTTTTAAAAATATTCCATGATGAAGAAGAGAAAGAAAGAGAGCAAAAAAAGTGTAAATTAATTACAGTTAAAAAAACTGAGAGAGAGAGAGAGAGACAGAGACAGACAGAAAGTGAGTTTTTGCGAGAGATGGGCTCTTAAAAGAGCTGTTGGATTAAAGGTTGTTGTGGGAGATGGAGATGGAGATGTATGTGATCTGAAGTAACTGCAAGACAGAAAAAGAATATTGAATTACAATTACATTACAAAAAGGTATTAAAGGCATGGCCAGTGTTGTGATTATTGTGGTAAAAGCATGGCAAGTGTTGTGTTACTGTTTCAACTATAAACACCACAGTAAAACTATGGTTACTGTGGTAAAACCATGGCAAGTGTTGTGTTACTGTTTCAACTACAAACACCACAGTAAAACTATGGTTACTGTAGTAAAACCATGGCAAGTGATTTGTTACTGTTTCAACTACAAATACCACAGTAAAACGACAGTTACTCTGGTAAAACCATGGTAAGTGCTGTGGTTACTCATGTGCTCTAAATACAAATAGTAGACAGTAAAAACAGTTATTGTGGTAAAAGCATGCAAGTTACTGTGCTTTAACTACAAATACCACAGTAAATCTAACGTTACAGTTACTGTGTTAAATCCAAGGTAGGCCTATGTGTTGTGGTACTGTGCTTTAACTACAAATTCCACAGTAAAACTACTTAACTTAGGTAAAACCATTGTAACTGTTGTGTTACTGTGTTTACAAATACCACAGTAAAACCACAGTCTTAAAAGCATGGCGTTGTCTTATTTAACTAAAAACACCACAGTAAAACTAATTAATGGTACAATTTATGGGCACTGTGCTAGCAGGATCGAGCTAATATACTGTGGTAAAATCACATTCATTCAGTGGCATTCGCAAATGATTTGTAAAGAAAAAAACATCAAACTACACTTATACTTACACATGAATTGCCGACAGTCACAACGATACATTAAAAAGATCTTTAAATAAAATAAAACAGATATTGATTACGGCGTTCAGGGACATTCTTTTTCTTGCCGCATTTTGTTTTTATTGGTAACGACAGTCAAAGGTCATTTGATGACGACACACCCGATAAACGAGACTGTCATATATAAGACTGCTAGAGGGCGCTTCATTTTAAAACGCCACTATAGGTCGTAATACGCTGCATGTACAAACGACATATGGGGTCGTTTTTCGGAGGAGGACAGTCTCTTTTGTTAACCCTCTACGAATTACTCCAGAAAGAGACACATAAATATAATTCTAATTTGAATCTTATCAACGGCTATATGAGCACCCACACTAACTTACCTCACCAGTTAACAACATAGCATTTATTTTGCCAAACACGTGTTAAACTTTCAGCCCATACAATTTCTAAGTTTATACTTCTCTGCCACCGCAATATCCATCTCCAGAAAAAAACCCTGCTAATAAATATTAAAATTAGGAATACTTACGGTTCACTACAGGAGTGAAGCATTAGGCTTGTTTGAGATGCGCTTTGCCTCGCCTGAAATGTAGTCGAGAGTAGGCGGCTGCAGTGAGAGGAGGAGTGAAAAAAGCGCAGGCAAGCCGGACAGATCGCGCTTCTCGCAGTGGATCTGACACCTGTGAGATCAAAGGCGGATATCGCGGGATTCACACTCGTGCACGGTGTTGCTAATAAACTGGATGTATTTTAAGTTTTGTTGCTTGATTATGAAAATAAATATAATGAACAAGACACCCAAAGTACTTATTTAATTCCATTTTAAATAGGCCTATATGTTTATGAATCATTTTTTCTTTAATACAGATAGGCCTATGTGTTTTTTTGTGTTTTTTTTTTTATTACATCACATAGATCGCACTGTCAGAGAGTTTGGGGATATCCACACATTATCTATACACATAAAACATGATATCAGAGTTTTAAAATCAAACATTTTAAAAGAGAACAATTACATCACGGTTGTTTAAACCAATGAGCATTAAGCTGTGCCGTCAGCAAGTCGTTTCCCATCATGCTTTTGATCAGCGCAGTCGGTGGAGAGCAACTGCGCGCGACTGCAGAATCCGACACGTGCGCCTTGCGGTCGCGAGAGTTTTTTGACACACGTCAGCATGACATCAGAGCAAGGCGGACTGCACTCGGACACATTTCTAACCGGCATGCATCTCGCGCTGATCACCGGTGATCGGTTCTGCGCAGATTTTGCTCATCTCAAACAAGCCTAGTGTGTTTGCTTCAGACGTCATTTTCACGTGACTAATGACGTAATGATACAAGCTCCGAAGCAGTGGTTCGTTGCAAGGACCGTTCGAGTTTGAAGCAAGCTTCGGAGCGTCGGTGTCAGACGTAACATCACTAGGTGCGGGTTGAAGAAGAGTCTGAGGCAAGAAGGCTCCAATGCAAAACATTTACTAAATATAAATTAACAAACCAGGAACAGGCAGGCAAAATGGCAAACACAACACTCTAAATATGACTAACGATCAACAAGGACAGACTAACCAGGAAGGAACTAAATACAAGCACAAATGAACACTAACAAAGTGAAGACAGGTGACACAGATGATCATGACGAGAAACAGGTGGCTAAATGAGGAAGTGAGTTCAGGTGAGGAGACAAGCGGGATCCTGGGAAGTGTAGTGATGACAAAGACAGAAGGTGCAGACGGTGACTGTGACATTAACAGCTTGTTTGGAAATTATGCACAATATATATATATATATATATATATATAATACACATTGCATGTCTTAACTTTTTACATGACCAAAAATCTTGTGTGGAGAAAATTATGGCAATAAGGTTTTCACACAATAAATATTGAAATGATTTATGTTTAGTGCATACCTAGTTTAGATTATCATATTAAAATTGTAATGTCATATTTTTATATGAATTTCTAAAGTTTTATAGGTAAACAATAAAATCTATACTTTAAAGGCATTTGAAAGTAGCACAAAAATAAATGAAGGCGTGGTAAATGTTTTAAAGTCAGTTTTATTGAGATCATTCAATGAAAAAAAGTATATCATTTGTTCTAATAAGTTTCAATAAAAATCAACTTCAATAGTAAAATCAAGCATAATCAGAAATCATTCAAATAATGATGACAAGAGGATTATTATCATAATTTTTAAGAGCAAAGCTACTTATTAACTTGCATTTTCCTCACATAAACACATATTTCTTTATGATAAATTTAACACAGCCCAGTGAGCCCCAATGGAGGTAAGGGCAAATCCATTCTGTCGACCGCTGAGGAAGCGTAGTGCACTTCCATCACGGGTCGGGTAGAAGTTAAATGAAAGTCCAGTAGGCTGCCCCACTTTGAAAGAGCGGCCCTCATTAGTGACAAACATAAGCTCAGTGATGTATCCAGAGTAATACTTTCCAGAGACCTGAACGAAATATTCGTTGTCGAAGAGCGTCATCGACCTTTCATTGCCATAACCGTTCATGCCAACCAGTTCCGTCCAGTTACCGTCATATTGCAACTGGAGCCTAAACAGATAGGGAATGTGCCATTATTGTTCAAATAATTCAAAGCAAAATACCATATAACTAACATTAAAACAATACAGAATAAATACCGGTAAATAACAGAATGTTGAAAATGCCATGAAGTCTATAATTTGTTGCAAAATGGATTTACTGTGTGTGCAGGCAACCAGTCCAGAAATTATGACAGATCAGGTTCTTTTGGAATTGATCAAATGTTGCCTAAATGTGTAAATATCTAGCAGTGCTTGGGGAAACTTACCCATTGATGTAGTTGTTGCTGTAGTAGTATCCATTCGAGGGATATTCATAAACTCTGACTCCAGTGATGCGACCCTCTTGTGCAGTGGAAAATTCAGTTCCACTGCCGTCCCCGACAGCAGGGGAGTACGAGTAATTATCAGGTAAAGCTGGAAAGGTAATTAACAGCTATTGGTCTCTAAAATAAAAATGTGTTTTTTCAATTATGACTAAAACCCTTTTTTTATTGGGCCTTTATTTTGGCTTTTTTAGTTATACACAGGTCAAAACCTGGCAATTTATTGCTATTCTACTTTTAAAATGTCCTCTAATGCCTAACACTTGATGCATATTCAATTAGTCAACACTGATTTATTTATTGAAATTCTGACTTTAAAAAAAACTTGAGTTGAGTTAGTGATACTCACGCATGGTCATGCTCATGGCATAAAGACAAGAGAGTACCACAAAATAATGCAGCATTTTGGAATGCTTAGTTGTTCACTGCTCTCTGGGAATCTAGATCAAACCAAACACAAGTGTTGAGTTATTAAACTGTGAATTCTTTAAGAATCTTTTAGCAATATGCAGATGACAATAGTTTAAGACATAATAAATAATATTTAAAAACAAGCAACACAATTTGTACCGTATCCACAAAAAAAGAATAGACAAATAGATAGATTAATGCAAATATTTAAGAGTATTTATTCATGATGTACAATATTGTTAATTGATGTCATTACCTGTAGTTAAGCCTGAGTGGATGTTCCTTGAAGAAGACAGCAAACCAAACCATAATTTATACTCTCTTGCTTGTCCAGCCTCTGCTTGTTTCTGAAAGGAAAATATTTCAAAACAGAATTTCATTGTTGTTGATCATTAGTCACCTACATTTCTGGAACACATATTTCTTATTTTAAATGAATATGACGTCAGATAATTATCAGAACAAGTTTTAAGTAATGTAAAAATGTTTTGATGTCAGTAAACCTTTTCCAGTATAAATATTTGTAGTTTTCTTAAAAAAGTTTGAACATCTGATCATTACAAACCTTTGCAGGCCATTGAAAACTCAGAAAAGAACAAAATATATATTATATATTGTATATATACAGGTACAGGATGTAAAACACAGTCAGCATCTTGAGAGGTAATTTCTGTACTACTCAACCAGTAAAAAACCGTGACATCTGGTGTGAACCATTATATGGGAAACCTTTGAACTGGAGAGTCACTGAAAGAACTTATCCCCTATGGGCCCTTTAGTAAAACAACTAAGGGAAATATTCCTGCAGTTAATGTATTGCTTCAAATATCATCTTATTAGGGGATAATTCTTAATCTGTGTGAATTATTAAAGTACAAAGATTATTTTGTAAAATAAATATACTGTAAATATATTGTAAAACAAATAAACTCGCATTGGGTTGTAAGTTAACACTATTAGAAAACATGCACATCAGTTTAAAATGTGCATTTATATTATTACTCATAATTTTTCTACCAACCGTTGCTACCACCCCACCAATTTTGTTAATGTGTAACAAATTGAAGAAGAGAATCTGCTTCAGATGATGTTCTGTCATGTAACATGCATTAAACTAATCACAAATCAGATTATAACCCAAAATGGAAATTGTTTTTTTGCCCTATAAATTCTGTATATTTGTATATTTGTACTCTTACTTAATATCTGTCACAGTCTTCGTCTGCACCTGTCTGTCTTAGTCATCTTCACTACACTTCCCAGCATCCTCTTGTCTCCACACCTGAATTCACTCCCTCAATCATCCACCTGGTCATCGTCTTAATCATCTGTGTCACCTATCCTCACCTCGTTAGTGGTCGTTTGTATCTGTATTTAGTTCTCTCTGTTCAGTCTGTCTTTGTCGGTTCTTGTATATGTTACGTGTTAATGTGAGTTACCTTTTGCCTGTCAACCTGCCTGTACCTGTTTTGGAGATCTTAGTAAATGTTGGAATTGGAGCCTTGTCTCACCCTCTTCTTCATCCTGCACCATAACTCGTGACAGAAGAACCGACCAAGTAAAGAGTCAGCATGGGAATTCTTCTCACCCCGGTTAACCCAGCTCACTCTCCATTCACCCCAGCCGATCGTCTGGTCCATTCTTTTCAAGACGGTAGCCCAATTGAGGAATATGTGGAAAAATTCCTTGAAATATCCCACCTCGTGGACTGGACTGACGGTGCGCTGAAGACCGTATTCTGGTGTGGTCTGGATGAACCTTTGTACCAACAAGCTCCAGCAACGGCAAACCCAGGTTCGTTTGCCCGGTACCTAGATCATGTGCTGTGGTTGTGTGGCTCAACCTTCACCATTGGTGAGGCGGATGACATTGCCACACAATCACCGTCTCCAGCCATCTCCATCACGCCCACCATCATACCAGCCACCGGATCGGTATATGGACGTCCTGGACTGGTTTCCTGCATCGCCGATCCCCCACTTATATCAGCACGTACTGCCAGGAAGGCCATACTCTCAGAGACCGTCCAGCCAGAGACCGTCCAGCCAGAGACCGTCCAGCCAGAGACCGTCCAGCCAGAGACCGTCCAGCCAGAGACCGTCCAGCCAGAGACCGTCCAGCCAGAGACCGTCCAGCCAGAGACCGTCCAGCCAGAGACCGTCCAGCCAGAGACCGTCCAGCCAGAGACCGTCCAGCCAGAGACCGTCCAGCCAGAGACCGTCCAGCCAGAGACCGTCCAGCCAGAGACCGTCCAGCCAGCCACGTCCAGCCAGAGCTTCACGTCAGCCACGTCCAGCCAGAGCTTCACGTCAGCCACGTCCAGCCAGAGCTTCACGTCAGCCACGTCCAGCCAGAGCTTCACGTCAGCCACGTCCAGCCAGAGCTTCACGTCAGCCACGTCCAGCCAGAGCTTCACGTCAGCCACGTCCAGCCTGAGCTTCCCTGCAGCCCTGCCGAGCCTGAGCTTCCCTGCAGAGGACAGGTGACACAGATGATTAAGACGATGAACAGGTGGATGATTGAGGGAGTGAATTCAGGTGTGGAGACAAGAGGATGCTGGGAAGTGTAGTGAAGATGACTAAGACAGACAGGTGCAGACGAAGACTGTGACAGAATGCCCCCCTTCAACAGTCATTGGCTGTCATGGGGCCAATATAACATTTAAAAGACAAATTCAATTTGTACCACTGTAGTTGAGGTCAAGAAAAATATTCATGACACAGTTATAATGGCCTCCTGACAGCCAATGTCAAAACCAACCACATGACATTTAAAGCTGCAGTCCGTAGCTTTTTTGGGTTAAAAATTATCCAAAAATATATTTTTGAGAAAATACATAACCAGCCAGTGTTCAAAAGCTCTGCTTGCCTTAGCTCGATGCAAAACGGTAAGCTTGTAATAATGTTTTTAATTCCAGTGGTACTGGTGGATTTCCGCGGGAGATTCGAGCATGTCTTTGCGTCATTACGTCACATCTGTACACATAAAGAAGGAGTCTCGGCTAGTAGGCTATGTTGCGTGAGGATGCTGGAGGTGGAGATTTATAGCCTTTTCTCACAGCACTTGATATAACTAAACTAAAAACCAACCACAATGCGACCATCTGTGCCCCAGATTATCTCTATCACAGCCGATGTATTTAAAATTAGCCAACCTACATTTGCCAACCTACTCTTGAAGGTACTGCTTCTGTATCTACACTGTAAAAAGTGCTACACCCACAAAGTAGGTTTTATATATTTTAAATATTTGTAATCTAGTTTATTTTACCGTCCAGCCAGAGACCGTCCAGCCAGAGACCGTCCAGCCAGAGACCGTCCAGCCAGAGACCGTCCAGCCAGAGACCGTCCAGCCAGAGACCGTCCAGCCAGAGACCGTCCAGCCAGAGACCGTCCAGTCAGAGACCGTCCATCCGAGCAATCACCGCTGGTTCCGTCCAGCCGAGCCATCACCGCTGGTTCCGTCCAGTCCAGCCGAGCCCTCACCACTAGTCCAGCCAGAGCTTCACGTCAGCCACGTCCAGCCAGAGCTTCACGTCAGCCACGTCCAGCCAGAGCTTCACGTCAGCCACGTCCAGCCAGAGCTTCACGTCAGCCACGTCCAGCCAGAGCTTCACGTCAGCCACGTCCAGCCAGAGCTTCCCTGCAGCCCTGCCGAGCCTGAGCTTCCCTGCAGCCCTGCCGAGCCTGAGCTTCCCTGCAGCCCTGCCGAGCCTGAGCTTCCCTGCAGCCCTGCCGAGCCTGAGCAGCCCTGCCGAGCCTGAGCTTCCCTGCAGCCCTGCCGAGCCTAAGCTTCCCTGCAGCCCTGCCGAGCCTGAGCTTCCCTGCAGCCCTGCCGAGCCTGAGCTTCCCTGCACGCCTGCCGAGCCAGAGCCTTCTCCGCTGGTCCCGTCCAGCCCTTCTGAGCCTTCTCCGCTGGTCCCGTCCAGCCCTTCTGAGCCTTCACCGCTGGTCCCGTCCAGCCCTTCTGAGCCTTCACCACTGGTTCCATCCAGCATAGCCGGGCCTTCACCGCTGGTTCCGTCCAGCCCAGAGACTTGTAAGGACTCTGTCACTCTCCCCATTAATTTTTTTGGGGGGGGCCATAGGCCCTCGCCGTGGGCGCCCAAGGACCCACGACCACCCGAAGGGGCTTCTCCGCCATGGCCGCCCGAAGGGTCCTCACCACCATGGCCGCCCGAAGGGTACTCACCACCATGGCCGCCCGAAGGGTCCTCACCACCATGGCCGCCCGAAGGGTCCTCACCACCATGGCCGCCCGAAGGGTCCTCACCACCATGGCCGCCCGAAGGGTCCTCACCACCATGGCCGCCCGAGGGTCCGCACCACCATGGCCGCCCGAAGGGTCTCCACCGCCCTGGATGCCCGAGGGTCCGACAGTTCCACCCTGGGCGCCCGAGGGTTCGTCTGCTCAGCCCTGGCCACGCCCATGTCCTGCTCCGCCCTGGCCACGTCCTGCTCCGCCCTGGCCACGCCCACGTCCTGCTCCGCCCTGGCCACGCCCACGTCCTGCTCCGCCATGGCCGCCTGCACTTCCTGATCCGCCCCCGTCCCAGTTTGGCCACGCCCTGGCCAGCCTTCAGGGCGCCCGCCCCCCCACCCCATTGATGTTCTACGGCGCGAGGTCGCGCCTTGTTGAAGGGGGGCATTCTGTCACAGTCTTCGTCTGCACCTGTCTGTCTTAGTCATCTTCACTACACTTCCCAGCATCCTCTTGTCTCCACACCTGAATTCACTCCCTCAATCATCCACCTGTTCATCGTCTTAATCATCTGTGTCACCTGTCCTCACCTCGTTAGTGGTCGTTTGTATCTGTATTTAGTTCTCTCTGTTCAGTCTGTCTTTGTCGGTTCTTGTACATGTTACGTGTTAATGTGAGTTACCTTTTGCCTGTCAACCTGCCTGTACCTGTTTGTAGTTTTGGAGATCTTAGTAAATGTTGGAATTAGAGCCTTGTCTCAGCCTCTTCTTCATCTTGCACCATAACTCGTGACAATATGTTTCACATTCACCTTCTCTCACAATTCTGCTTCTCTTAAAAAAAATATGGGTAACACTTTACGTGAAGGGGTGTGCATAAGACTGACATGACACCTTCATAATCATGACACGACACATGTCATGAATATGAAGGAGGTTTTATGCATGTTTATGACAACTGTCATTAAGTGTCATTCACTCAATTATGACATTTTTAATGCTAATATGACATTGTTTGAGATGTCTTTGTTATGACACCTTGACATAAACCAATACATCATAACATGTCAGTGTCTTTGCCATGACAACTTGACATTACTAAGACAACACAACCTGTCATAAATATGTCATTAACAT